GGAAGACAGAGTCTCAAACCTGTCGCCCGGGCTAAAGTGCTGTGCGTCACCTAGCTCACAGCATCTCAAACTCCTGGCTCAGCGATCCTCCTGCCTCAGGCCTCCCCAGTTAGCTGGGGCACAGGCATGCGCCACCATGCCTGGCTAGTTTTTCTATATATATTTAGTTGGCCAATTAATTCTTTCGTCATTTATAGTAGAGACGGGCTCGCTCTTGCTCAGGCTGGGTTTCGAACTCCTGACCTTGAGCAATCCGCCCACCTTGGCCTCCCAGAGGCGTGGATTACAGGCGTGAGCCACTCGCGCCCGGCCAGGGTGACCAGCTTTTAAAGGAGTGCGAACTGAGAATGCAAGCCCCTGGCCTGGTGCCTTCAAAAGTCCATCCTTTTCCGGAGCTTCTGCTGGCAAGGCCCTGCTTGACCCTCCTGTTGACCTGGGCTGCTTGGTTGTGGTCCGTTAGTATCTGCTGGAACCTTGCTTTGGACTGTTTGCTCTTCTTAGGCCCCCAGGCAGGCTTCAGGGCCTGCAACCCAAGTTGCCTTAAAGTCCTTGTGCAGGCCAGTGTCTGTTGGAGGCCCACTTTCAGGTGAGCGTTTGGCTAAGCAAGGCCCTTGCTGGGCTTATCTTTGCTAAGAACTTCACTTGGGCAAGGTGGGGTGAGGCCTGTGTGGCTACTCGCTTCAGGCCCATGAGCAAGCAGCTTCTTTTCTTTAAAAACCAGCACCCTGGCCAGGCATGGTGGCTCACACTGTCATCCTAGCATCTGGGGAGGACAAGGTGGGCAGATTGCTCCAGGTCAAGAGTTCGAAACAGCCTTGAGCAAGACCCCATCTCTACCTAAAATAGAAAGAAATTAATTGACCAACTAAAAAAATATTATACAGAAAACTTAGCCAGGCATGGTGGCGCGATGCCTGTTAGTCCCAGGCTACTCAGGGAGGCTGGAGGGCAGGAGGATCGCTTTGAGGCCCGTCCCAAGATTCTCTGCCCTGGGATTCTCACAGGGCTGCCTCCTAATTATGGAGGACTTAAATAATGAGTACCTGCTCAGGGAGGCCTCCTGGGACTACCCTCGTTGTCTCGGCCTTTCCTTCTACCCAGGCGCTCTCTGTGCCTACACCCTGCTATAATTCCCTCACAACACTTACATCACTATCCGTGGCTACTTATCTCCCTAATATTATTTCTCTGTGGTGTCTCTAGCGTCTACCATAGCACCCACCCGGGGTGGCCGCTGGCTCCATCAGTGTTTGTTGAATGAATGGCTGTATTACCTTAAAAATTGTTGAAAAGGGGCTGAGTGCGGGGGCTCACGCCTGTAATTCCAGCGCTTTGGGAGGCTGACACAGGAAGATCACTTGAGGCCAGGAGTTCGAGACAACATAGCAAGACCCTGTCTCTAAAAAAAATAAAAAAGAAAGAAAAATTAGCCAGGCGTGGTGGCATACGTCTGTAGTCCTAGCTACTCAGGAGGCTGAGGCAGAAGGATCTCTTGAGCCCAAGGCTTGGAGGCTGCAGTGAGCTATGATCAAGCCACTGCAGTCTAGCCTGGGCCACAGAGCAAGATCCTGTCTCAAAACAAAACAAAAAAAAAGAATTAAGGATACTTCTGAAGAGTATATTCAGGGGATTTGATTCTGGCTGTTCCTTTCTTCTT